TAATATAATATAATATAATATAATATAATATAATATAATATAATATAATACAATATAATATAATATAATATAATATAATATAATATTATGTAATTAAAATGCAGCAAATAAATATGCACACAACAATACACAGACAGACAAATAAAAACAAGAGGGTGGAGATAGCAGAATATTATAATCATATTAAATTTAATATTATTACTATTACTATTACTATCAATATTTATAACAACAATAATAATATTATAATACTTCCATATAATATTAATAGCAATAATCATATATATACCTGTGGTAATGTAGTAGCAGCAGCAGCAACAGCAGGCAGCTAATGCACTTCAGCTGCAGCAACAACAACAACAGCAGCTGCACCAGTAGAAGCAGCACTACCAGCAGAGAGGCAGCAGCATAAGACATCCCAACCACCGCAGCAGCAGCAGCAGCGGCAGCAGCAGCAGGAGCAGCAAGAATTCATTGATGTGAATATATGTATGCAGGCTGAGGTTTGCATGTTTCCTCGTACGAGTTGGGGTGCTGAGCACCGGGATCGATCCCAGACGATCCCATCGAAGACACCTGTGGGGTCTTCATGGCTGCAGCAGCCTCCGCTGCAAGTAACAGTGGATGAGGTTGCTGCTACTGCTTCCTTTCATGGGTATGCTGGCGCTTGTCTAATCAATTTACCTATATCAGCTGCAGCACGAGATGCACTCACACGAGAAGGCTGCAACACTATTGCGGGCCTCAGCAGCAGCAGCAGCAGCAGCAGCAGCATCCGTTGCAAACTCTGCGGCGCAAAAAACAAACCACCCCAATCCCCAGCACCAGCAGCAGCAGCAACAGCAACAGCCCTAGCAGCAGCAGCAACAGCAACAGCCCCAGCAGCAGCAGCAGCAGGTGGGGGGTTGCGTTCTGGTGGTTGGCTTTCTTATTGCAGCAAGTGCGGCGCACCTGTCAGCAATTTACGTGGCTGGGAATTACCCTCTGAAACCCCTGGAGCAATATCTGTTTTGTTTGCACTGACTACAAGCGGCAGACTTACTTGCAAACCTCTCACTCTCAACGACCCGCTGCTGCAGCTGCGCATGCAGCGCCGCACTCGGCTGTATGCGCAGCTCGCCAGACGGCAGCGAAGGCGTCGTCAGCGGGCCCCTGGGATCGATCCCGATCCCGATCCCGATCCCGATTCCGATTCCTTGGCAAACAAAGACACTGATGGTGCTGCTGCTGCTGCTGCAGCAGCAGCAGTAGCAGTAGCAGCAGAAGGATCTCCTGCTGCGGTAGCGGCGCTCTTTTCTTTTCATGCTGCTCGCCTCCATCACCCGCATTTTGTTGCTGCAGGGGCAGAGAAGAATTCCACTGTGACTGAGACATCAACGACAGATGTCTCTTCTGCTTCTTCTTCTTCTTCTTCTTCTTCTTCTTCTTCTTCTTCTGCTGCTGCTGCTGCTGCTGCTGCTGCAGATGAGGGAGGCGTGGGAGTGCTGCTGCAGCAGCTGCAGAGGAGCCCCAACGAAGTTCGGGTGTTGCCGCAGCGGATCCCGGCGTTGCTGCTGAACCTGCAGCTGCTGCAGTCCCTGCAGCAGGAGATGCTCTTCCGTGCTGCATTGAGGCATCAGCGGCAGCAGCAGCTGCTGCTGCTGCGCCGCGCTATGCATGCAGTACGTCGAGAAGGAGTTGTTGGGGCCCCCCAGGCCTCTGCGGTGTTGCTGCGCGTCTTAAAGGGGGGGCTAGAATGCATGCAGCTGCAGCAGCAGCAGCTGCTGCAACAGCAGCAGCAGCAGCAGCAACAATTGCCTTCTTTTTGTTATACAGACTCAGGATCCTTTGCTATCCATCGCCCTGCATATGCAACTGAAGCCTATGACCCCGAGCCCCTCGTTCAGATGCTGCTATCGAATGCTGCTGTAGACAGCTGCTTGCAGCAACAAACAAACCCTCTCTCTTCTTCTGCTGCTGGTGCTGCTGCTTATTCTTCTTGCATGCATGCAGAAAGCACAACAGCACTCGAAGGAGAGACAGCGCACACCAGCAAACAACAAAATGCATCTTCTGATGCATTACCCAGCAGCAGCAGCAACAGCAGCAACGGTAACGGCGAGAACAACAGCAATAAGAACAGCAGCAACAGCAGCAGCAACATGAGTGGGGTTATAGGGTGTGAGGAGGAAGAAGAGAACGAGGAGGAGTTTGCTTCTTGTGTTTCTGCTGTTGGAAGTTTGCTGCGGGGTGTATCTGAAGGTGCTGATGCTGCTGCTGCTGCTGCTGCTGATGGTGAGGGTTTAAGTGTTTATACAGCAGCAACAGAAATATCTGGACTCCCCTTCTGTGGGGCCCGCAGCCGCGCTGTCTTTCGCTTTGCTGTGGAGACAGTAGAGGCATTGCGTGCTGTAGCAACAGCAGAAGGAAGCTTGCTGTCGCTGCAGCAAGGGGACAGCGTGCTGTTGCATGATCTCCTTGTTGCTGTTCAGCTGTGGAGAGAGAGACGCCTCTCTTCCTCTCAGCTGCTGCTGCTGCTGCAGCCTTTCACCCTCAGCAGAGTCTGCACACCCGGCCTCGTAGACATGAAGCGAACTACTCTGTCCCTTGGCTTTCAGCAGCAAACTTCACCACAAGAAGCTTTTGAGGCTGCTGCTGCTGCTGCTGCTGCACCAGATGCTGCAGCAACAGCGGATGCAGACGCAGCAGCAGATGCAGATGCAGCATCAGATGTTTCTCCAGATGCAGCAGCAGATGCAGTAGCAGATGCTGCTCCAGATGCAGCAGAAGCAGCAGCAGCAGATGGTGTAGCAACAGCAAGCTGGAAGGGGGGAATGTTTAGACGAGTAGCGAACCCCGCTGTGTCTCCTGCGTTGCCTTGCTGCTGCCGCGTGCTGCTGCAGCACCACTGCGACTTGCATGCATGCACCTCAAGGGAACGAGCGGGTTTGCTGCTTGAGGATGAGACGGAGACAGCAGCAGCAGCAGCAGCAGCAACAGCAGGGGGTTACAATCCCTA